TCGCACGTCGGGGGGTTCGTTTTCACCCCCCTTTTTCGCGCTGTCCTGCACAAACCCCTCCACGGACAATGTCTTCTCCTGAAGCAAGGAAACGCCGTCTCAGAAACGGGTGTGAAAGCAGCTAAGCGGGGGGGTGGGGGGAGCAAAAACGTAAAATCGGTACAAAGTAATAAAAATTAGGAATGCGTCTTATGCCCTAGAAGGAAAATATCACACGTTTGGGCTGGTTTTACTGTAAATCTCGTTGTAAGCGCGTCACACTGATTGGAGCAAACTAAAATACCTCTCCAGAGGAGTTCTAGACAAAACACACTGCTAATTTCTTTCACTTTTATTTTTCCTGTAGCTTATTGCTTAAAATGAATCCGAAAGAACATTTGCATTGCTATCAAGCCTGCTCAGAGTTTATACTGGAGTTTCTCCGGTTTCCTCACACAATGTTAAAACCAACAACCGCAAGACAGCCAGCGATCATTACACCTCTAGCAGACAAATTAACGCTCATCCTTCCACTGAAGAAAAACCCACCATCAAACCGCTGCCTTTCTCCCGCTGTAACTTCCCCGGATCAGAGGGAAGCATTTTCCTGGGGAGGGATGGAGTGCTTTGCTCCTGTCTCCCATGCTCCCGATTTTGGGCACACCAGCTTTGCATTTAAGAGGCACCGTCGCCTCTGTCAGCATGCACTGATTTTCTTCCTTCACCTCTGATTTTCAGGGGGGCTCAGCTCCTCCACCCACACACACAGTCTGGCTGCTCTAACCACCTCAGAAAATCCGCGTGAGGGTGTATCGAAGTGCCCAGAGTTTCGGAAAACACTATTTGCAGGCAAAATTGTTAATTTTCCAGAGAATGAAGCTGAGAAATTGCTGAGATTGACATTACTAGATTTTTAAGGGGAAACATTATCTGCTCGGCTGCCAGTAATATTTCAAGATGTAGATGAGGCTGAAAGTGGGATCTGAGCTCCCTCCTGGCTCACACACTCTGGATGAGACCCCGGGGGTGATGCTGACCCCCCCCAGCCCGGCAGAGATGCTGGGGTTGCCTCTCCTCCCAGCACTGACCATCTCGCCCGTTCGGTCGGGCTGGAGGGGCTCCTTAATGAGCAACCAAGAGGGAGGAGTAATTCTTGAGGGGCCAGGACTTAATGGCAGGAGAGCAAGATGAGTGGACATCTCCCTAAACCGTGGGATGGCCGTTTCTACTTATGTCCAAATGATCACTGGGCAAAAAATTAGAGACATTTCTTCAGATAGTGTTTTTAAGACAAAAAAATCTAAGTGCTATTGCCAGCTGTAGTTTCACCACTCTAAAGAATTGAAGTACTGTCCTAAACCCTGGGCATCCAACGAGCATCCGAGGAGCCTGCAGGAAGCGAGAGCTCCATCTTCTGCTTCCCTGCAGCCATGGGGCAGTGGGGATGGATAACCCACCTCTGGAGAATTTCCCCCCCGCACTGATGTGTGTGATCTCTTTTCCCCAGGGTAAAGTGGCAGTCAGCTCTTCCAGCCCCGCTGTCACAGCTTTGCTACCGGCCCCGTCCCAGGACGGACACACGCCCATCAGTGAAGGGGAGATCTTCAAGCTTCCAGGCAGGCTGAGTGAGTAGATGTCGAGCAAGTCAACGCTGCTTAAAAAAGGAGATCCCACAGGGTGGGACATGGTGGGTACAGCCGTGGTGTCCCACCCAGGGACCCTTCCCTGCTGTCAAGGGATACAAGATTGACCAGTCATCAGGGTTCATTTTCTCTCTTTGGTGCGTTGTGACCTGTGAGTACTTAATATAGAGGGAAAGTTTGGTGATGGAGAAGACCAGTATCCCACCCTGCCCCTCAGCAGTTTTGAAGATGGAGACTGAGTTGTTTCAGAGGCTGCCCCTGGTTTCAGGAATCCAGCCCTCACTGTGGAGCAAGGACGACGTGATCCACTGGCTAAGATGGGCTGAGAAAGAGTATTCCCTTCGGCAAACGGACAGAAGCAAGTTTGAAATGAACGGCAGAGCCCTGTGCATCCTCACCAAGGATGACTTCAGATACCGAGCTCCGAGCTCAGGTTAGACCAACTCAAGGGTGTTTCTGAGGACCATCCAAGTACAGCACAAGCTGTGATCTGCTGAGAGGGGCTGGATGGGCCCCAGCAGACCAGACTTTAGCCCTACCTGCCTAGTTGGGTGCTGGAGACACGGACAACCCTCTTCCTTTAGTCCATCTGGATGGCAAATGCTTTGGGATGGGGAATAACCTCTTCCTCTGTAGCACAGAAATCTAAGCAACATCAACTGGGAGAGTCTTTACTGTACTACAGAATCATCTGAGCAGATTTTCCTTCCCTGCAGGTGATGTGTTATATGAAATACTCCAGTACATTAAGACTCAGAGAAGAGCTCTGGTGTGCAGCCCTTTGCTCAGCTCACCCTTCAGGGAAGCCAGGAGCACAGAGGAAGGTATGATGGAGAATGGCAGCTGTCCATCAAGTAGAACCTGTCCTCAGCTCCCATGGGTTGCACAGATCTGGGGTTTGAAACTCAACCTGCCAAACCCATCCCACACTACCTGAGCAAGGCAAGCAGGACAGTCCTGGAGATGGCAGCCAGGTCCAACAAAGTCCAGATCATCAAGGAAGTTTGTAGTGATGAAGCAAGTCTGGTCAGAATCAGGTCTAGAGAGCACCAGGGGGGTCCATAGTGACCAAGCAAAGCTACAGCTATGCTAAGAAGTGTTATCAGCAAGCTGAGACCTGGATCAGGGAAGGCCAGTAGCCAGGCAGAGGCACAGCCATAGCTGGAGACTAGTCTTCCTGCAGTATAACTGGGAAAGGGCTGAGCGGCCAGGGCTGAGCTCAAGTAGAGCTCCTGGGCCAAAGGGTGGGGTGGGGAGAGGCCCCAGGTGGGGCTGGTTGGGGCCAGTGAGGCTTATTAGTGCTCTCAGGGGGACTAGGTAGGAGTTAGGGTGTGGAGTCAGTGGCTGGTTTTGCATTGAGGTGGATCTGGGAGTGCTTTCCTGAGTTCTTCTGCTGGCTCTGGTGTAGTGTGCCAAGCATCTTTAGTCCCCATAATTTACAAGGGAGCACCTCTACTCTGGTGTGTTCTCCTCTTCCAGCTTTTCTTCTGTATCTGATCCTTGCCCTACTTAGTATCTCCTTTAACCTCCCTGGACCTTCTGCTACTCTTGTTTTAAGAAAATCCTGGGCTTGCCTCCTCCAGCTGGGCTAATAACCAACCTGGGCTGTCCCTCCCCATGGAAGATTCCCTGGGACCTATCATAACACACCATAGGCTTTATTTTATTTATTCTAGGGGCAGACCATAGTGCTGAGGCTGCCCCAGTTGCTATTTCCTCCTGCCTGGGTTGTGCAGAGCAGCCTGTGTCCTGCAGCCGTGTGGAGCCACTGAACCTCTCCCATCGCAGCTCGGAGGGCAGCTGCAGGTCAGGTGCCATCTGCTCTTTTCCTACAGCCCTGTTGGCCCCAGTGGATGGGAAAATTGCAGGTAAATATGAATTTATGGCCTGGTTCATTGGGGAAATGAGATTATGCTTTTTCCTGTCTGTCCCCCTTCTATTTATTCCATGTATCCATGCATGCTTCCCTGCCTCAGTTTCCCCACTTGAAAAATCATAGTTCCTATGAGCACTTTGAGATCTAGCAACAAAAGTGTACTGTGTGTGAGCTCTGGGCTCTTCTCATATTTATTAACACTGTGAACATGTGCAATCCTGTTGCTGACCAGCCCTCACTGGAGCATAGGTGCCTTGGTGGGAGGTTTGTGACCATTTCTTCTCCACCAACGCTCAGACTGCAGGCTGCTGTGGGATTATGTGTACCAGCTCCTCTCCGACAGCCGCTACGAACCTTACATCAAGTGGGAAGATAAGGAAGCCAAGGTCTTCCGGGTCGTTAACCCAAATGGACTTGCCCAGCTCTGGGGGAACCACAAGGTAAATGCAGTTGAGAACAAATTTGTCAGTCCTGCAATGCCCAAGAACCACCTCAAATGTCCCAGGTGTGGTTCTGCTGCAGATAGACCCAAACCAGGTGTTGGTGCGTGCTTTTATTCAATGCCTCCCTCCCCCAATTCTTTTCTCCTTTCAGAACCGTATGAACATGACATACGAGAAGATGTCACGAGCGCTCAGACATTACTACAAACTCAACATTATCAAAAAGGAGCCAGGGCAGAAGCTGTTGTTCAGGTGAGATGAAGAAGATCAGAGAAATGAGCCACTTGGGACAGTGCAGATGGGGCATGGGAAGGTGGTGGGCTCCAGATGTTGGCAGCCATTTCATCTTTGTGGGTTTAAGCTGAAGGAGGGTCAATTTAGATTACATGTTAGAAAGAAATTCTTTACTGTTAGAGTGTTGAGACACTGGCACAGGTTGCCCAGAGAGGTTGTGGAGGCCCCATCCCTGGAAGTGTTTAAGGCCAGGTTGGATGGGGCTTTGGGCAATGTGGTCTAGTGGAGGGTGTCCCTGCCTGCAGCAAGGGGGTTGGAACTAGTGATCTTTAAGGTCCCTTCCAACCCAAACCATTCTATGATCTTGCAGAATCCTTCATGGTCCAGACTGAGCTGAAGTTGCAGCATCTTTGCTGTATGTTGGGGTAATGTGTGGGAATGTGGGCTGTCCTCTGAGTTTATGGTGCTGTAAGGGAGATCAGGGGCTGCAAATGCAACACCCTGGTGGGTTTGTGTCCAGGATCTGTCCTGCACAAGCCAGGAGCTGGGACACTTGGGCTCCAGGTCCCATCCAATGCACCTCCCAGGGCGGTGGGCCAGCATCCATCCGCTCTCCTGCATGGAGTCCAGCTGGTGCCAGAGGAAGTGTCCCTGCACCTATTCAAGCTGGACAGGTCCCTCCTGTTCCCCAGTGACACCAGGTCTGAAGTCCACCTCCAGACAGAGGAAGGGGTTGAAATAAGTCAGGAGCCTCCTGTTTTCAGTGCTGGCTGCTTCCCTGGGACTAGTTTGGACTTCAAGTGCCTGCTCTGGGCTGATGAGTCCTGAGCTTTGTCTCCCCAGGCTCAGTGCATCCTGGGTGCAAAGCAAGAGCTGGGAGCCTCAGCAAAGCCCAGGGGTGGCAGATACTCTCTGGTGAGCTGCAGAGCTCAGCTGATGAGACCAAGGGCTCCAGCATTTCCAGCCTGGCTTGAGGCTAGCTTTGGACATGCCCTTAAAGCCATTAAAAAAATATATTGCAGGTTTTTGAAGACTCCTGGGGAGATTATCCATGAGAAATCCAGCAAACTGGAGCAGCTGGAGAATGAGGAGCATGAGGATTTGAAAGAAGACCCACTGGAGGCTTCACCATAAGAAGTCTTTGAAGGTGGCATTTGCAGTGCATTACAGACAGATTTGTGCTCTGCTGGGAAGTGCTGAAGTCTCTTGCACCTCCTGGACAGAAGGCCACAGAGCTGGTCCTGGATTTCAAAACCTGTCCTGAGCCAAAGCTGTGACATCTCTGGGGCTTCATTAGCAAAACACACCCAGAAACTGTCCCCCGGCCCCAAAAGTGTGAGTGAACGTGTGGGCTGGTCTGCTTGCTTCTCTTCTGTCCTCGGGGAGGGAATGTGATTTTTTTGCTCTGTGTTTTTGATGTTCGCCTTTAAGGTTCAAACTTGCTGGTAAAGACTGTTCTGTTCTTACAGCAAGATGTGCTGAGCAGAGAGCACCGGAGCACCTGCTCCAGGTCGAGCATCTACTGAAGCGCTTTTGCAGCAAGCAGTGGCCCAAAGTGTGAACACGCTGCTCTGAATCTGAGCCATTTCCCTGATTCAAGAACAGCCTTACGCTGCAGATACACTGCACGCTGTAATCTCACTGTCTCCTCTGGGCTTGCTCCTGTGATTAAGGGTGGGAGTGTGCTGAGGTATCTGCCTGGAGTAGGCCTGGCAGCAGCTCCAGGCTGCACGGATGCCCTAAGCTGGGTTTTGTTTTAACTCCTTTCCCTCTGTGTAATGTTTTTTGTAATTAGTTGACTAAATAATGTGAAAAGAAACAAAACCAGTGTGTTGGTTTTGCGTGGCAAG